AGAAATAAACATATATTTTGTCTTTTTTAATACATGGTATAGTTTATTGAGTAATAGCTATGTATTCTAGCAGTTTGACTCGTCTAAGTTATCTAATTGTCTAGGCCCAGTGGATAATAAATAGCATTTGAGAGTGAGAGTGGGAGTCATAAACAGGAGAGACTTTTTTTTTTACTAGGATTCTATACAATCCATGAATGGGTTTTATTATATCTAGAAACTTGATCATAATTGGGCTATAGCCCCCTAAAAAACTACTTATGCATGCAGAAGACTCAATAAAATTATAATAATATAAAGGCAGCTAATTCTGATTAGATGGTGGGAAAGGGTCTCAGTTTAATTCTTTAAAAACATTTTGAAAGAATATATTAATGAATTACTTATATAATTAAAATTAATTTTAAAATGATGTATACATGAACATTTGTGTGTGTGTGTGTTTCTCTGAAGATAGGGGCAGTGTTGTCATCTCATGTTAAAGGGTATGAATTCCTTATGTTAATGTATTTTGACCCTGAAGAAAAATAATGTTATCTGATTATAGACATACCAGTTTCAAATTGTGTACAGTTGAATTATTTTACTTTTTCTCATGAAATACATTTGACAGATTTAAATATTAAAAATAATATTTGAAGCAGCTATCACATAAACAGCACCTCATTTGTTTTACTACAGTGTGGATCAGAATATATAGAAGTAGATTTCAGCAAAACCCTACACTTGGCTGAGTTGTTGCCATGGTGAGCTATGAGTCTACAGAACAGGCCTGTGTGTTGATGATGCTCTAAATTTCACTCAAGCAAAGCATCTGATTTATTAAGTACATAAAGTTATAATATATTAAGCAAGTATGCTCTAGAAAGTAAGTCATAAAATCAGTCACACTTTAAATGATGCAGATAAGAAAAAACTCAGATATTTAAAGGGCTACCTTGTGGTTTACATGTGGGAAAAGTAGGCTCAGAAAAGTCATTTTAATGAATTAACTTTTATAGAATAATGATAAGATGTTGATGGATGGAATCGTAGTATGGTACATATAAAACACAACTCTGCATCAGACTTTGTTCTGGAAACCACCATCTGAATGGCTAGATTACAAATGCCCACCTAGAGCCACAAGATAAACTTCCCAGGGATTCATGAATCTATATCCTACTAAGTTCAGTCCATTCCCATTATACACGATGCACTGAAGGCTGAGAAAGTGACTTTCACACAGCAACTTGGAAACCCAGCCATGTCTGTTTAACTCCCTATCAGTACATCTCCCACATCAATTATATTTCACATGACTACACCTTTACCAAAGCAACTTACTCAATGGTTCATTCATGTTATGTAGCAGTTATACCTTCTAATGTTTCATTGAAGGTGACTATAGCAGCTATAATGAAGAATCAAGAAGAAAGAAAAAAATGCTATAAAGACATTTACAGCTTTCTTTCTCTGTAAAATATAGTTATTTTTTTCCTCTTAGTTATTGACATTTTTCAAACTGATCATAGAAAGCTTCCCTGCCTCATTAGGATATAGTGACTGTAGATAATCTGGCTAAGCATTTATCTCGTGCATTTTAAGCTCTTTATCATGGTACTACTTTATTTGGGGGCCACCCGTTTTTGGTATTTGCATATTAGGGGCCAAATAATAAAAATAGCTGCCTAAAACTTTAGTGTACTCATTCTAGGTAAAAAGCCTATGATTTCAGGGACTCTCTATATAGAAGTAATCTCTTCATAGTGAAGCTATTATTTCCACTGACTTTTGACTTAATTAAGAAATCTTGTAATAATAATTTTAATGTCTTGAAAAAAGCTTTTTGGGGGACCAGAAGATGGTATAAAGGTTGCATTGCTGGATTCCATGTAGTCAACTGTGGTTCGAATCCTGAACCTAGTGGCTTAAAAGTCATGCCAGGTGCATGTGCACGCATGCCCAAAATCCCAAGAGGAGAATGAAGGGATTGCAGCGTGCCATACCCTCTGTGGGGTGTTTCTCGCTTTCTGTCTCTTTCTCTCTGGTGAGTGCATGTGCCCTGTAGCAAAAATCTCTCTAGAAAAAGAAAGAGGAAGGAAGGAAGGAAGGAAGGAAGGAAGGAAGGAAGGAAGGAAGGAAGGAAGGAAGGAAGAAAGAAAGAAAGAAAGAAAGAAAGAAAGAAAGAAAGAAAGAAGAATAAAGCTTCTTGACACCAATCAAACCATAGAAGAATGATAGAATATGACAAGTTAATTACTGTAAAATCCATTTGATATTCACAAATAATACAGACTTAATTCATAATCACCAAATAGATGATTATTTTTATATCTAGCTTATTTCTTGGTTCACTGGTAGTGTCTTCGGGAAATAACAATAGCTATTACTATTGCTAAAAGTCAAAGGAAAGCTATCTATTGCTTCATACTGGCACCCAGCTTCCCATGATGTGTTCCCAATCATGCTTCCTCTCCTTATCTTCCTCTCACACATCATAGCCCAGGAAAATAGAAGAACCAACTCCTCCTGGATTACAACCCATCCTGTCCCAGTTCTTTCTTTATCTGCCTGAAAGGATCTCCCTTCACAAGCTCTTCACCGCCAGTGTAGGTATCAACATTATCTGCTCATATTTCCTCAACACTTATGGTATACCATAATGCTTCACTAAGCGTGTTACTTAATTCATACCTTGTCACAACACTGTTTTTCAGATGAGAAAACTTTAGCTAGTTACCCAGCTAGTAAGTGGTAGATCTGAGATTTGCAATCAGGCAGTTCAACTTAAGATCTTAGAACATGATGCATTAATTAATGTCATGACACATTAATTCCAAGACCTAGTGAACTTTCAGGACGAATATTTCACTGGCTCCTTAACATTTCTTCCCTTTGCCTACTCCTGTGTCTTTCTCAAGTCACACTCTAACTTCTCATCACTGACCCAGTTAGTGATGTTTTTATCTTGCTTCTATTACTAGTTAGTAGGCTTTTGAGGACGGTGTTCTGATTCATCCTTATATTCTGTAGAAAATAGTAAAATATCTTTCACATGCTAAGCCCTTTATACACATTGATTATATGAGTACATCACTGAAAGAATTAAGAGATGGTTCAGACTGTGACACAAATAACTCCCCCAAATCATTTTAGAAATCTACTCAGCCAACCTATAATTCAATGAACACCATGATCTCAACTGGGCATTTATTTGCTCACAAATTTGATCTTTTAACTTGGATTTATAAACATGACCAACTGTATGGGTTATTCTTGTTTGAAACCCATTCATTCAGTCACATGTATTGTTTGAGTTTACTAAATAAGACAATGGCATTTGAAATGGTTGTTCTAGAACTCAAGTGAATTTTGGTTACTCTAAAAACAACCAGTTAAAATGGAAACAATTCTTATGATCACAACTACAGAGATGTGGCTGATTTATTTGCTTTTTGGTGGGCTGATTGGACATTTTAATTTTCTGTATAGTCACGAATGACACTTCATCTAGATAATGTTAATCTGCTCTGTTATTTCACACTGTATTTTGACAGTTGTCCAATAGAAATTCTAAAGTCTTATTCTTTTATATAATTGTAACAGAAACTACAGCTCTCAAAATAATCACTAACACATATAAGATGAATAATTCTCAAATTTAAGATGTGTCTTTTATCCTTTCAAATTTAGTATGTACATGGAAAAATTACATAATGAAGAAAAAGGTAATTATTTGGAAGTTTCCAATAAGTTATTTTTTTTATTGAATTCAGAACAATGCTTTGTGGAGGAATTTAATGTTAGAATTGAACACTGTCTTTTTTCTTCTTCTAGTTTTGTAATCTAAAAACATTTATCTCACTTGGAATAATTAAAATATAAAAACTAATTCCCAAATTGTAATTTTACCAGTTTCAAGAATACTATGGCATCTATCAAAAGTGAATTACATAGGAATGATTTTTCTTGAACTCCTAATTGTCATTTTCGTTTAGTATTTAAAGCTCAAATAACAAAAACACGATTGTTAAAATACACTATGGATTATCAGTGACAGAATAACATCCTATCAAATTATTTTGATAAGTAGAGTCAAGCTCTTTTCAGAAGTATATAATAGTAATATAATTCAAAGGAGAGAGAGAGAAAAAAAACCCTATTTTTACCATTAGGCCCAAATTAGGAATAGTGCTGAGGTGGTTTCTTTTTTCTTTTTTTCTTTTTTTTATTGGTCCTCAGTGGAAGGAATTGGTCTCTAAGGTTTTCCTGAGACTCATCTTAAGGAAATAAACAAGAAGCTGGTTGGGCCTATCATCTGACCTGGAGAAATTTATGACTTTTTCTTTAAGCAATTAGGTACTCTTTAAACTGAGTTATTGTCCAAGTAGAATGTTGTTCGTATCTTACTATTTGTTCAACTTACTGCCTGGAACTTACAAAAGAGTTTTTCAGAGGTGAAGTATCAGAAAACTAGCAAAGGAAAATTCAGAGCAGGGTTCTCTGGGAGAAATTTATCCACATACTCCTTTCACTCTTAGCATATTTTTCTTTCTGTCATATCAGCATTGGCTCTGGTGTACCTTGGGCACTGTGGCCCAGAGATAAATGCATAACTCTCCTCGCTTGTACCTGGTACAGGAAAATGATATAATATTCTCATTTTGATTTTCCTTTTTACAAAAGACTGAGTGAGCCTGCCCTTGCCAGGCCTGACCTCCTAATCAGCCCCAATGGGCAGCTCATGGCAGAATCAATCAGTGGAAACGGACACCCTCTCCCCCAACTTCACACAAAGTAATTTAAATTGATCTGAAGCCCAGGTAAGGAAAAAAAAAAAAAACATAAAGAAAACTAAAACATCAAAGGACAACGTAAAGAAGCATAGCTTGCCAACATGAACCTACACGCAAGCCAGAAGAGATTTCTGATTCTTTTCCCGGGGAAGGAGTGACTAACGCACGCACACTGACCATCACCGTAAAGAGGTAAAGAGAGAGTGAAATGGCTCAACGTACACACACCCCGCTCCATACCGGGGACGAGTCTCCGAGCTGCGGCTTGTGCTGTCGGAGGGCCAGGCTGAAGCTGACCGCCCCCACGGCCACGCTGGACACCCCCAGCCCTATCTCCAGCACAGAGAGCACCAGGAGGCTCCCAATGATCTGGCCGCTGGTGCACATCCTTCCTCGGTCATCATTCCTTCCAGATCAGAGAGAGAAACTAACCATCCACCTTCTTTCTGCGACTATCCCCCTTACCCCTTCCACCTCCCTACCAGATCCCCAAACTTTTCTTTCTTCACCAGCGAAGCACTGTCCATAGGACTGAATTTCCAGAATCGGAGACTCTCTTCCCTGGCCCGGCCAGAGGCGAAAGAGCTGCTCCACCCCCTGGTTCGTTCTGACAGCGATCGTAGGATCTTCCTGGGTGGGCGGTGGGAGTCCAGGAGAAGAGCGCACACCAATCGCAGCGCTTTGAGGACGGAGCCGGAAACCTGCAGGAGCCCCGGGATCGCCTAGCCCTGCTCGCGAGGCGCTGTCCAGAGTCCTGCCGCGTCCCGAATCTCCGCAGGGAAACCTCGCTCCCTCCTGAGTCTCCCGCACCCTTTCAGGCTCGCTTCCCTTTCCTTGCCGAGGAGACGCGCTTTGCTTCTCAGGGATCCAAGGGAGCACTGCTGGGAGCTTCCCCCTCCCCTGCTCCGGCTCTCTCGTCGCCTCTCCTTTGTTTTCGTGGCAACGCAAAGTGCTTCTCGGAGTCTCTAGCTTCCCAGGCAGAGCAGGCGGATGATATTCAGCACCACGCTCCTCTCAGTTGCAGTGTCGCCAGAAAAAGCGACCTTGTCTGATGGCCTCTGTCCGTCTGGGTTTCTTCTCCCTCGTCGTCGTCCTCTTCCTCCCCCTCTCTCTTGATCTGATTCTCTCTCCTTGCTGTGACCTCATTGGGATTTAGGAGATTGACGGAGGAGGGAAAAGCCTGATGTATCTCTAGGTCTAGGACCAATACTCTGGGCCGGCCCTTGGTCTGCCCCGCCCCGGGACCCTGATCACAGGAATCCAAGCGATCCTACCTCCGCATCTTACCCTCCCTCTCCCTGCTGGGCTTCCATCCAGCTGCGAGGCCAGGCGAGGCGATGCCTACGTCAAGGCCCGGGCTCGTTGGGTGTAAAACTTTCTTGTGCGTGTACGCGAGGTGGGGAGGGCAGCGATCAGAGAGGCAGACAGCGCAGGGATGGAGGAAAGCCAGACTCCGAAGGACCCTCGCCAAAGAATAACTGTCCACAAGAGCTAGCCTAAGCCCGCTCTCACGAGAATCTGCTCCTGGCTGTCACGACCTGTCACCTGTGTCCCAGGGGGAAGAGGCAGTTGGCTGCAAGGATGTGGCCAAGGCTGCTCTCCAGCTCGCAGACCCTTGCCTTACCGCAGTTTCTGGGATGCATAGCCAGATCCAACGCGGTGGAGACAGAGTGTTCTCACTCAAATTCCAGAGATGGGTATACTTAAGTGCTACATCAGAATGGACATCATTTTTTAAAAAAAAGTCTGGCTCATTGCACAATTTTTGTTGACAGTCTGACGTAAAAATCTTTATGTCCGGGGCCAGCTCAGGTGTGGGTATTTTTGTGTTGTGGTCTTTGATGCAGATGAGAGTCTAGAAGTCTGGGAAAAGTTGTGTTTGGACTCTGTTTTCGTTTCTCTGCTTTTACCTTATAAAATATTTCAAGGTATTCCATCAAGGAGATCCAAGAAATGGAGAGACGAGACGAGATCTTGGAAGGTGGAACATCTTCTTTAGTAATTGCGTTCTGTTGGAGGTGGATGGAAACAAAACAGAACAAAAGAGGATCCTGTTTGGGCACTTTAACATGAGAGTAGCATGTTGTAACATCTTGTCCTCTAAACACAAGCAAACCTGAGCAGGGCAGGCCACTTAGTGATTAAAGGAATCTTTAATCTTTTTTTTTTTTCAAAGTCCTAATGTTGAGAACATAAAAGCTGAGTGACCTGAAGCATAAGTTCTGTGACCTAAGTGCCAGTTTTAGTTTTCTTACACTTGACTCAGGGCTTGTTTCATAATTTAATTTTTTAAATAAAATTATTTTATTTAACTTTATTTATTTATTTTAATTTGACCAGAGACAGAGAGAGAGAGAGAGAGAGAGAGAGAGAAAGTGAGAAAGCAAGTCGCCAGGTCCAGAACTTGAACCGTAATTGCCCATGTGGGGGGTCCAGCACCCTTAACCACCATACCACCTGCCAGCCCCTCATAGTTTAATTTTAATTCTACCTGATAATTTATTTTCCTTATAATATTTCAGTAGTCTTTAATTTAAAATATTTTAATCTTCTTCCCTTAAAAAGGAGAATAAAGTAAGGAAAAAATTACAAGTTACTAGGCTTTAAAGAATCTTTAATTATTGAGATATTTGAAGAATGATTTAATATTTATATTGTATGAAAAGTAATGGATTCGTTTTGCCCTTCTGAAACCTGGCCCATCAAATAGTCAGTAGCTAGAATACCTCAAAAAGTTTACAATCTTAATGAAACATAGTTTATTTTATTTAAATAATTGTAGAAGTCATATAAATGATCTAATTTATTTGCAGAAATAATAAATCACCTATACTATATAGCCTTTGGTTTGTCTTTAGTCATGGCTCTTCTTTTTCAAAATTCAAGATGTGGTAATTATTAAATTAATTAATACATACCTGCAAGAAGGAAAGTAACTTACAGGAAGAGAAATTAATTTTTATAGAGAATATAAAGATGGTGTTAACCTTTGATATATTTCACAGGAAAAAGAAATATGTATTACTTAGTATAGTTTAATTTTCATCTTTGAATCTGATAGCTAGAAGTGAGTTCACTTAAAATTTCCAAAGCCTATTTATATTCCTAAGTATAAAAGTTATCGATTGTGAGTCACTGGTGTGCAATGCAAATTTTTTAAAAAGGTAAATTGTATATAGATGAAATTAAAACCATTTTCACTTAGAAGAAATCACCAATGAGTTAAAAAAAAATAAAACAACACACATTTTTAGGACTAAAACAGAACAGTAATTATCCACAGAAGAAATTACTATTTTGTGTTTAAAAATATGAGTATCAATGTTAGGTCTTAAAAAATCATACATGACTGAAGAGAAACCTTTCTCCATGGCTTCTGCGATGTAGTCATTTTGGGGCAAACCGAGAAATGAAGATTTCCCACCGATATTTCGGCCTCCAGCCTACAAAACTCGCGTGGTAGGAAGACCCTTTCAGGCCTCCTGTCTCTGTATCTGTCTTTGTCTCTCTCTACCTCTGTCTCTGTCTTCTCTCTCTCTCTCTCTTTTTAAATTTTTGCTTTTTAGAATTTTTTAAGGTGATGCATTTTTTTTCCTGGGCCTTCTGGCACCTCCTATCCCTTTATCTTGTTAGTAATTCCCTCTCCCCCTCCCAACCCAGGAGATGCAGAAGGCAAGGGAACAGGTCATCTCGAAGAGACACCTTTCTCCATGGCTCCTGTGATCTAGCCGTGTGGTTTTCTCATCTTTGGGTTTTATTGAAATTTTTTGAATATTATTTTTTTTGTTTTATTTAAACGTTTTTCTCTTAGTTTTTTCTTCTCTCTTTCTCTGTTTCTAGTCTGTTTTTTTTGCTGTTGTTGCTGTTGTTTCTCTCTCCCTGTTTCCTTTTCCGCATGCTCCTCTTTCTTCTGATTGGACTTCCAAGTTTGGGAAGAAACTGACCATCCACCAGATGACTAGAAATCGCTGCAGAACCACAAGAAATATGAGGAAGCAGGAAAATACCTCTCCTGCAAGGGAAAAGGATAACTCCTCTTCATCCACACACAGTTCAATGGAAATCATGGAAATGTCTGATAAAGAATTCAGAACATTCATAATGGCAAAGCTAACAGAGATGGAAGAGAAGAGAGACAAGGAACTGCTGAAGAGGGAGGAGAAAGGAGTTGAAGAGTTCCAGGAGGTGAGGAAATTCATGCAAGATCTAAAAGAGGAATTTCACACTTTACAAAAGAATCAGATGGAACTGTTAGAGATGAAGGCTATAATACAAGAAATCAAAATCTCCCTTGAAAGTATTAAAAGCAGACTAGATCATACAGAAAATAGAATCTCTAATGTAGAAGAGAAAATGGTTGGCCTAGAAAAATCCACCGCGAAGACTGAGAAAATGGCCCAAAAATTTGAGAATAATATGCGAGAAGTACTAGATACCATCAAACGTCCAAACATCCGGATAATAGGCATCCCAGAAGGTGAAGAGACTCATAAGGGCATTGATAATCTATTCCATGAAATCTTACAAGAAAATTTTCCAAACCTGGAGAGGCACTCAAAGATTCAGTCCCAAGAAATACAGAGGACCCCAAATAGAATCAACCCAAGAAGATCTTCTCCAAGACACATTATAGCCAGATTGACCAAAACCACAGACAAAGACAAGATACTAAGACTGGCAAGAGAAAAAAGGCAAGTTACCTACAAAGGGTATCCCATCAGACTAACGGCAGACCTCTCATCGGAAACAATGAGAGCGAGGAGAGAATGGGAAAATGTATTCAAAGTATTAAGGGAAAAGCAATTTCAACCGAGAATTCTGTACCCAGCAAGGTTATCGTTCATTTGGGAAGAAAAGACACGAACTTTCCCAGATAAACAAAACCTGAAAGAATTTACCAGCACCAGACCGGATCTCCAAGAAGTTCTTAAGGGAGTGCTATGTCAGTAAAATTAAATGCAGACACACAGAAATAAGAGTTCAGAAACTAAGAAAATGGGCAACTTAATTGTAGGGCCAAAAGCTGGAGTTGAGTATTACATCCCAGATTTCAATCTGGAACATCGAACCTCAACAGATACAGAAGAAAGATTAAGTACATGAGACTGAACTGATGAAACAGTATTCTACGACTTGACTAAAATATTGCTGCTTTTCTTCTAAGCTTTGTTGTCTGGTTTTAAGGACTTTTGTCCTGTCTTCAGCTATCAATAGATTCATGTTCCGACTATTTGAACAGAATACTAACCTGTTTCTAGGCTTTAAGTTTCAAAGAAATATCCTTACCAGTTCAAAACTGCTTTTCTTGAAACCATCGGCTGATCTTGCTATTGAAAGTAGTTAGATTACTTATGATATTGTGTGACCAACGAAATGTTGGGGGAAAAGGGATTGAAGACAACTGTAGACAGCAGAGATAGTGTAATAAGAGAGTGGAATAGGGCAGAGGGCTAGACATGGGGTAAAAAAACATATATATGAAAGTAGAAATGGAATATTATGGATGATAACATGCATTATTAAGCCACTATATAGTATATTCTAGATGGGAAACCACATTTAGAATGTTGTGATGATGCTCAGGGAATGAATGTAAATTAATAAAAAAAAAAAATTTTCAGAAGAAAAAAAAAAAAGGCATTAGAAATACCTATTTGATGACTGCAGTTAAGCTATATAGCCCTAGTTAGGTGCTACGTTATAGTATGTTCATTCTATTCACTGAGGTTTATGCCTAAAGTCAGTCTTGTGTTCATGGATATGTACATATCAGCTGTGCTTGCTATTGAAAATATTTAGATTTATTAAGATATTTAGTGAAACAATAAAATGGGGGAGGCATAGAAAGCAACAATAGATACCAGACACAGTGTGGGAGGAGGGTGGGAGATGGCAGAGGGTGAGATAGGGAATCAAGGATGGGAAAAAAGGCAAAATATACAGAAAACAAGAAATGGAAAATGATTTGTTGACAATAACACATATGTTGATGTGCTTGATTGAGCCAATATACAGTGTATTCTCAATGGAAAAATCTCATTTTGTATGCTATAATGATGTACAGTGAATGAATGTAAATAAAAAAAAAAATGTA